GAACTGGCAATTTTCATTCTCTGCTTCCGTTCCAGTGGCTGAGTTCGGTCTTTTTTTTTTTTCTCCCCTAATCATAGGTTTCTTAGTGTGGAATGGTGGTGGCTCCTGGTTTTTTTAGTTTGTTGGCCGTAACGTTGGTTCTTGGAACGTACGTCGTTGACGACTGTTGCATGGACACTCTTGGTTGCTTTGCGCCGTGTTGAGAGCTTTGAGCAACGGCCGGTATCTTTGTTCTACCCAGCGGTGGTGTTGTCGTTCTTTCAATCAACCGCGCCTTCGCTGTATTCTGGTGTTGTCTGCTGCGAGACTTTGTCCGGGCACGGCTATTCTTCTTCCTGCCTGGGGCCTTTCTTCTGGACGAATCTGTTTTCTTAAATTTCTTGCTCGTTGGAGCTTCCATCTGTTGCGGCGTTCTTTTTTGGGGAACTCTTCGAGTTGTCTGCGGCCTTATGATCTCATCGGTTCTTTTCTTTTTCTCAGGGGGTGGAAACGCTGCTGGGACCGAAAGCGCTATTGTTACTGCTGCCTCTTCTGTCTCGGAAGCCTGCAAAAATCTATTTAGAATATCAAAATCTTTTCTGTCGTAATACTTCTTTAATTGATCCCAGAGTCGTAGCTAGGGTTTTCAGCGGCCAGGGACAACCGAAGATTTCGCGCCCCCTACTGCTTGCCAAGGATGGAAAACATTTAATTCTAAAATGTCGTAACATCAGTTTGGTGCCCCTTGGATTCTGCGCCCTGGGACAGATGCCCCCCTTGCCGCCCTCTAGCTACGCCCCTGATTGATCCGGACTGGTCTTTATTCTTTCACATGAATCTGAAGTAATATAAATTACTGCCCCAACGATCTGTTGCATGATATAGGGACCTTCAAACTTGTGTGCAAACTTAGATACAAAATTTTCTGAAGCCCTAGACAGGGTGAATTTTCTTTTTAGAACCTTACCCCCCCTTTGAAATCTGCCTCGCTGCGTTTACTATCGTAATATACTTTTTACCGCTCTCTTTCTACATCCGAGTTCTTTAACGCTTCATCAATTAGTTTTTGAATGTTCGCCTGCTTAAATTCAGGCTCCCGTTCTTGGACGAAAAATAATTTATCGAATGGGGTCAAATCTCTACCCAGAAATAAGTCAGCGGGCGTTTTCCGCGTTCATGTTTGGCAGTTCTTAAAGCATATGTAGTTCGTCGATGCAGCCATCCCGCGTTATGATAATTTTTAATAACTTAAGTATTTTAACTATTTCTTATTCACTCTTCCGCGATGTTAGATTGTTGGCTATAAGGGACCATTTCATATGCCTTATGTCAACCCTTTATATAAATCTCGAAAATTGACTACAAACTGCCTACCATTCCTTTTTACTTTTAACGGTGCACCGTTTTTAAGATACCTATGCAAAATCGCATCTACGACTAATTTAGCCGACGCTCGCTTTTAGCGAATTATTTCTTTTATTAGAGAAATTGTCAACAATCCTAAAAATATCGATTTTATTTAACTCACTTTGGGGAAAAGGGCCAAGAAAATCTATCCAAAATTTCATTAGGAACGTCGCGCGAATACTATTCAGGTACCCAGCCGGGCATAATAGTCGTTACTTAACTGACATAATTTACAGGACCTGACATAGGCAGTTACTACTTTCTGTAGTCGAGGAAAATACTTCGCCTCGCGTACCCTACGCATCGTTTTCCTTACCACAAGGTGGCCAGCGGTCCGGGCGCCGTGCAATTCTTGCAAAATGCTTAGCCGTAGTGCGGCTGGGATGACTGGCCTATATTCGAAGTTTTCATTCGTAGACTTGGTATAAAACAACAAATTATCTACAATCTCGTAATTTTGGGCTCTATTTCTAATTGCGGTAAGATATGGATGTTCGAAATTATCTGGATCCTTTAAATAAGCATAGATATTATCGAATTCTGGATCCTTTATCAATTCAGAAGTGATAGTTTCTCGGGAATCTAAAACGTTAGACGTCAAAACTGCACATTTTACTTGATCCCCATTGTCATCTATCTTGATTTTTGATAGCGCGTCGGCCACGGTATTCTCTTTGCCTGGAGCATGCTTAATTATTAAGTTGTACACTTGTAAGGCCCATCTAATTAGTCTAGGAGTTAAATTCTTTTCCGAATATAAGCTACCTACGGCGCATGGTCTGAATATAGTGACAGGCGCTTTTCCGAAATATACCCGGAACTTCTGACCTGCCATTAACACTGCTAATGTTTCTCGTTCGGTCGCGGTATAATTACGTTACGTGATGTTTAAAGTTTTACTAAAAATGCCAGGGGATGCTGATTTTGCTTTAACACCGCACCCACGGCATAATCTGAGGCGTCACCCGCAAACTCCAAGTTATCATCGCCCTCCGGGAACTTTAATATCGGTGCGTTAATTAAAGCTGATTTCAATTGTTCGAAAGCTGTGTTTGCATCAGCTGTCCACATAAACTTTTGACTTTTTTTCCGTTTTAACATTAGCAAAGGTTCAACAATGTTAGCGAAGTTTTGAATAAACGTACGGTAGTAAGGGTATAGTCCAAGAAAAGATGACAGCTTCTTTGCTGTATTTGGCGGAGAGTAATTTTTAATAGCTTTAATCTTGGAATACTCAGTCTCAATGCCTTTAGCTGAAATTTTGTACCTTAGATATCGTAACTCTTTGGTTGCGAACTTGCATTTTGATGCATTTACGGTTAATTCCACTTCCTTCAATAATAAGAAAATTCGTGGAGGTCTTTTGTATGTTCGTCAATAGTATTGCTTGTTATGATGATATCATCTAAATAAATTAAAATGGATTTCCCGAGGACACAACGTAAAATAATATCCATGGCACGTTGAAAAGTTGAGGGTGCCCTGCAAAGTCCGAAAGGCATACGTAAAAACGCACAAGTGCCTGTTTTAGTGATGAAGGCAATTTTATTTACATCTTCAGGTTTCATAGCTATTTGAAAATAGTCTGAAGTAAGATCGAGAGTAGTCATAAATTTTGTAGATTTTATTTTCCTAATAATCTCCTCAATCACCGGTAAAGGGTAAATCGGAAATTTAGTTAAACTACTGAGTTTTCTATAATCTATAGCAAAGCGATATGCTCTGGGATCTGTAGGGGGCAAATTATTCTTTTTCCTGAAGAGCACAACAGAGCTCGCATATTAACTATTTATGGGAGCTATAATTTTATTTTTTAACATCTCTTGTATGTGGTGCTCAATGATGGCCTCTTTCTCCTTATCGTACCTGTACGGTTTCGCTTTACAAGGTTCAGTTGATTTTAATTCAATAGAATGAGTTACTATCTGGGTGTTCCCTGGCTTATCAGAAAATAATGAAGAAAATTTACTTACGATTTCTTGCAGCTTGGCTTTTTCATCTTGTTTTTAATGCTGGAGATCGATTTCTGGAATTTTTTCAGCAGCTTCCACCACCCTTGAATTTGAATTTCGTCAATCGGCGCAGTAGAACAGGAAATAAAGAATTATCCTTTTTTTTTTTTTTTTTTTTTTGTTTTCCGCAGTGTACATCGGACCTTTCACCATGGGAAATCGAAAAATCTTCATCATGGTCCATTTTCTTGATGGAATAACACAAAGAAAGCCATCCGTATCTATTTTTAAAAAGTACGAAGGTATTTTACTTTTTAGCATGCGAATCACACACATACTGTGTGAGTTTGTGGCAAGCTGAAATTCAACACTGCTTAAAAGTAGTCTGGAAATCTGAGCTTTGTGTGCTGGAACGTTTTCATGCAAAACAATACTTGCCCACTTGCCACATTTTGCCTTGAGCTTGCCCACTTGCCATATTTTACCTTTATGACTCGTTGCAGTTGACTTTACGGGTTAAAATAATAAACACTTGTTATCATAGAATTATGTGGCATATAATCAATAAGCAATATACCCCCTTCCCTTAAAAAGAAAAAAAATGGCGCTAAATTTCCTCGGCAAATTTCTAGGTTTTGAACCTGAGATTGAGGAAACGCTTGTGTTTATTTTCCAACATATATTCCTTGGTTTTAATACACATATCAATGGTCACATTGTCACTAAACCTTGGACACTCTTCATTGTTAAACACAGCTGCCTACCTTCTGACAATGGCATAAAGTAGGCTACAGAATTCCTCACTTTTATTCTGAACGAGAAACCTAGTGAACTGATAAGCGAATAATTGCTTAAATCCAAGAACAGAAACGTAAACTCAAGAAGGATTAATAACCCTTTGTTTTATTCAAAATAAGATTAACATTCGGCCCCTTTCTCAGGGCGTACAGCAAGGCCTCCACTTGGGCTAGAACGCTTTAACCGAAGCTAACACAATTGTAAAGTATTGGCCCGTAATATTAAATTAGCCAGCGAACTATCAAAAGGCACGTAATACGGCCAACAGTAATAATAGCTTAGAGAGACGTAACCCAAAGGCAAACGCATGCTATGCAGGAATCCTCACTCTTTCTGGCGAAGTCAGTTGAAGTTGACTAAATAATATTCTCTTTCTCATTTGCATTTAACGCGATTCTAAAAACTCATTCTGGTAGTCTGGTAGGAAGTTGTAAGATGAAGTCAGGAAAGAAGCATAAACTTAAAATAACTGTTATAAAAACAAAATATACCTTACAAGGTATTGCAAAACCAAAGACTAACTATAAGTGCATGATATAATGTGCTTTTTTTTTTTTTTTTTAATTAAGTACTCACTTACCAAACGGTTTTTGATATTTTCTGCATTACATACTGACAACATTTAAAAGTCCTTCGAAAATCAGATAACAAATTATGCAATATCCTCACGTTTACCTCCTACAGATATTACATCACACTCAAGCTTGAATCACGAACTGAATACTCCTTGTTCTTACAATGTTTTTGTAACAGAATATATAAATTGCATGAGCAATATAACTATATTCCTGAATTTAAAAAAAAATTTCTTTAATTATGCTGACATTTTACTTGTTTATTTATTTTACTTGTTCATTTTTACAGGATTCTGAATTTCAACAATATCCCATTTTGTTGGAACTTCTTGAATAATGGTCTCCACATCATCTGTTGGCTGGAATATTATCTATAGCTTAACAAATAAAAGCACCATTTCTTGGTTCACTGAAAATTATAAATTTGTTGATGAAGTTACATATCAAAACACATTCAAAAGAATATTTAGAAATATTTTAAAGGGAAATTAATGTTCTGAGTAAATCAGATCAGTGTAGTTCAGGCAAAAAAGCAAGATTTCTAAAATTTGAGAAAATAATTTTAATTTATTATTTTACACAAAAGACACACACTATAAAGTAAAGTTCTTATTAGCATTAAACAGCTAATTTAATATATAACAGCGCTCTGAATGACTTTCATTGTCACTTCTTTCAGGAAGTTTAAATGATAATATAAAAACTAGAGGTCTATTTAATGTTTATTTCACGTGTATTTTTTAAATATTAACTACTTGCAAGGTTAGTCATCTAATATAGTGTAGTTAACACATTCATTTCAGTTTGTGAATCAAAATTCATTAAATTCACACAAAATAAAAAATAAACGATAATTCGGGCTTTGAAACGCACATGTTCGGATGGAAGATTATATGTGTTCAAAATTTGCCAATTTTCCAGAATGCGAGGAACATATACACATATAGTATTTTCATTATTCAATATGCTAGCATTTCTCGCAAAATATTTCTCAGATCACATTGAGTACCAGTTAAACATTATTATATCTGAAATGGTATATTGGCCTAAACAATAAATGGTAGACATAACAGTCCAACAATTGTCTGTTTTGTGTAAAGAGCCTTTCTTTGGATCTAATTATATTCTCCTATCCATAACTTTTCATCCAATTCTTTCCTTTACAAAGCATCATGAAATTCTTCATTCTAGCCAAATCGGTACGTAGCAATTTTGTAAATACAAAAAACACAATAGTTAGTATTGTCAACTGATAAAGTTAAATCTTTACTGATAAAAATCAAATAAAAAAAAATGTATCTAAGTTTTATTTTCAAATCAATCGCCAGCATTAATTTCCCAATTCGTTATAAAATGGTATAAATCAGTATGTTTAAAATTATATATCAGTATGTTTAAAAGTTTATTACCATTCGAATTATACAGAGTGTTTCGAATTCAACCGATAGATTCAGCAGGATGATAGGAGACGATGAAATATTACTATAGAACATGTGGTCGCAAACGACATTCAGTGGTTTCTCCAAAATCGCATAAATAGACGTCGAGAGACAGTGAGCCTGACGAAGAGAGCGACCAAACAAATACAAGAATTTAGGAACCTGTGATTGAGAAGAATTCGTATGCAAATTTCCAACGCATAAGGGAAAAATAAAAGGAGCAGTCGAGAAGAAAAACCCTTCTCGTATGCAAATGTCCTATACGTATGGGGAAAATAAATGGAGCCTGCAGGTATTCATTAGTGGGCATTGCAGAATTCGCGGGTATTAAATTTTATTTGGAAACAACATGCCAGATTACACGAACGAGGAATATGCGGATAAGCATCTGATTTACGGCCAAGCAGGTGGTAATGGACGCCTAGCAAAGATGTACCAAAAGCAATATCCGACGAGGCATTATTCGCACCATGCCACCTCACGAATATCGATCGACGGCTGCGGTAGACGGGATCCTTCCAAATAACGAGGCGTAACGCAGGGCAAGAACGCAGTATGCTTACACCTGAAACAGAAAAACGAGTATTGCAATGGTTTGCCGTTTGCCCGTCGAACCAGCACACAATTGGTTGCAGTTAAACTAGGTGTACGTCACAAACTAGTGTGCAAAGATTGTGCGTGCAGAAAACATGCACCCTTTTCCAGTTCAGAAGGTCCAACTCCTAAACGACGCCGACTACTCCCTGCGAGTAGAGTTCGTTCGCTGCTACTGTAACGTATTTTACAGTATTTAACAAAATAACAGATGATCTTCCTAGTAAAACATAAATTTTATTTTTAGTTTACGGAGATATATAAATTTGAATACAATCTTTTAGTTACAAATTTTTCATACATCAACTAGCTGGTAAAACTTTCAGAATAACAATTTTAAGCTACTTCTTACGTTGCTGAGCAATGGTTACATGATACAAATATGTCGTTGCTACTCCAATAATAAATATAGTTATTTGTTAAATAATAAAATATTAAAACCTCTCCTTCCTCCAGACAAACTTTAATTTATATTTTTATAAATTAAAGTTTACAATTTTTTTTCAAAACAACAGAATATCAACACAATACATAATTGAAATACTACATATAACATAAAAATATACATTAAGGAAGAGGGGAAAGAATAAAATAATTTTTTTATCTATATAGGGAAACAAAATCTTCAATCAGGGCAGGAAGTACGACTTAATGCGTCTACAATTTTATGATTTTTACCGCTTCGTGTAATTGTAAGGTTGTAATACTAGTGCCCATCTCATAAGTCGTGGCTTTAGACTCACATTATTTTTGAGCCAAGCTAAGTGATTATGATCGATTATGATCAAAAATTTAGTATGCCCGTCTAAATAACATTGCAGTTTCTTTACAGCGAAAATTATGGCAGGGCATTTCTTTTCTGTGGTAGAGTACTTTTTTTCAGTTTCTGTAAACTTCCTACTGAGGTATAATACTGGATGCTCATTGTCTCGTTCATCTTTCTGAGCAAAAATAACACCCATACCAGAGTTTGAAGCAGCAGTTTGCAAAATAAACTCCTTATTGAAATCAGGTGCATACAGTATAGGCTTTTGAAACAGTTTTTCCTTTAGCTCTTCACAAGCTTTTCTCCACGCTTCTGTCCGATTTATTTTCCCTTTTTTTTAATTTGCTTTCAAAGTTTCGGTTAAAGGTGCTGCTATAAATGAGAGCATGGGAATGTAATGATTATAATATCCCGCTAATCCTAAAAATGCTCTGACTTGACTTTTTGTAGATGGCACGGGAAATTCAAGAATAGCTTTTACTTTGAGTTCACTTGGCATTCTTATACCGCGACCTACAATATGTCCTGGATATTTTACTCTATCTTGAGCAAATTAAACATTTTATAGGTTTAATGGTTAAACCAGCGTCCTTTATTTTTGTCGAAACTGCTTTCAGGTGACTTTGATGCTCTTCCCAGGTGTTTGAAAAGATTGCCACGTCATCTAAATATGGAACAGCAAAGTTTTCACAACCGTTAAGGATTTCGGCCGTCATTTTACTAAATGAAAATGGTGTATTTTTAAGCCCGAAAGGCATCCGTAGAGGTCTAAATGTGCCAAAACTTGTAACAAAAGTGGCTAATCTTTGAGCATTAGGTGTTAAAGGTATTTCCCAGTATCCCTTTGTATAAATCCAAAAGAGTTATTTATTTTGCGCCTGCTACAGTTTATACTCATTGTTCGATATTAAGCAAGAGGAAGAATTATGTTTTAGTCAACTTATTCAATTTTCTATAGTCGATACAAGGTCTAGGATCCCTTCCTGCTACTTCCACTAAAATCACAGGAGAAATGTAATCTGAATCTACTATTTCAATTATTTTATGTTGAAGCATTTTATAAATTTCTGTTTTTAATATATCCGTTTGTCTAGGAGACATTCTGTATGGTTTACAGTGGACTGGTGTGTTTTCTGTCAGTTGAATATCATGCATTATTAAATGAGTTTTCCCAGGCTTATTAGAAAATATTTTTGAAAACTTCAGCCAGGGCTTAATTTCTACGATTAGAAGTGCCGAAGCCCTATGGAATACCGTCAGCAAAGAGGAACAAGAGTAAATAAATAAATAAAATAACTATTAAACTCGTTAATAATTTTAAAATTAAACAGCTAATTACTATCAAATTAATTAATGGCTATTTAATTAATATTTATAAATTGTTATTTAACCAATAATTATTATATAATTAATTAATTATAATTATATAATTAATTATTATTTATTGAAATAATTAAAGATTAAAGTAATTAAATAATTAAAATTAAATAAAATGTAAAGAGATAAACTAAAATTTAATAAACGATTTTTAATATAATTTTATTGTTAAAATAAAATTTCTACTGAAATTGTTATTCAATTACATAAAAGAAGTGCCGCAGCCTTCTTATTCAGGCCTCCAGTGCGTTCCGGCTAGAATTATGATATGATTTATTACAAAAACTAAGAAGCACCGGAGCCGAGATCCGGTGGGCTCCGGCTCAAGTTAAGCTCTGATTATGGGGGGGGGGATTCTTTTATCATCATAAATCAAATATACTTACAGTATAGCTGATGAAAATTCCAGGGCGAAACAGAATGAGGATATGAGTGGGTGGAAATAAAAAATGAGGGGAAACATGGTAGACTTGATTAAGGTCTTTTTTTCCTTCGAAACTCATAATATAATTAGCTTCGGATAATTTCTTCTCAGGGCATTCCATCCAACTGCTAGTCTGTTTGGTTGATTCGTTGATACAACTAATACTAAATCTCCTGCAGAGAATCAATTCTCTTTTAATAGCTTTACGGTTGTACCGCACTTTTCTTTTGATTTGCATTTCCAGCATTTTATCTGTATCTCTTTGCATCTTTTTAACCGATTTATCAATTGGAAAACGTATTCAACAACATTATTTCCTTCGTCTTCAGAATTCATCCATTGTTCGTATAATAATGTTGCAGGTGTTCTAAGATTTCGGCCATATATTAATTCTGCAGGTGTAAATCCCGTACTCTCGTTCGTGCGTTATTGTTCGTAAAGCAAATACAGCTGCATGAACTTGCTTCTCCCACTCAGGGGCTGCTTCGATACATGACTTTTAAAATTCGTTTCATTGTTCGGTGAAATCTTTCAACAGGGTTGTTTTGCGGATGGTGTACTGAGCTTCTAGTTACTTTTATTTCAAATTTTTCTACAAATTCAACGGCTAGATTACTCATGAAGGAAGTTTTTATTTGATCAGTTTTTATTTCTTTCGGGAAACCTATTCTACTAAATATTTGTAACATGGCTTCAATTACTGACGTTGTGCCAATATTAGGAACAGGTACAGCATCCGGATATTTTGAAGCTAAACAGATAGTTGTAATTAAATATCTATTGCCATTTGGAATTACCGGTAAAGGGCCGCATGCGTCG